GCGGCAGCATTCTTGAGAGCATTGGCGGATTTTGGTGGTCATGAACTATAGTTAGCAACTCTTTGTCCTCTGTATGGCAACAAGTGCCGGTGGTCGGTCACAAAGTAAGGTTATGTCCGATGCAGATTAAATATTGTCTTAGCGTAGGAACCAATCAAGGTTATCGTCATCGCAGCGCTCAGAGGAAAGAGACGCAGTGTTTCTTTTTAGAATAGCAAACAGGGACATCCTGGCGGGATGTTTGGCTATGAAGAGCCGAATTGGTTCCATTCGACATTAATGAGAAATTAGGGACCAGGCTCTCTTGACCAATGAGCACATGAAAAACATTACCAAAATTTCCATGGCTGAAGTTGGAGAGTGCGTCTTAATGGTGAATTTGCATGCAAATTTTTTATTGCTTCATCTGAAAGTGCTTAAAGAGCTGATTTTACAGTATTTTTTATAATTTTTATCTGATATAGGAAATAGTATTAAAATAGATTTAAAAGTGAGAAAATGCACCGCCTAGTGACGTCATCTGGCGGCATTTCCCATTTATATACACGTATTTTAGCAGATTAGATCATTTTGTCATATCTTCTCCAAAAAGTGTTCAATTCATGAACCAAAGGTATCCTCGTGTTCAATTCACTTAGTAGTTTCCACTTAAACATGAAATTCATCAAAATTCATCAATATGTTGAAGACACAACCGATCTCACTATGTCCTGACAGCAGTTACAGCAACCAGCTCGCGTGAAAACAGAATTTGGGTACGATGTTCAGCAAAAGATATGAAATTCATCTGCGTAAGTCAGGGCCGGATTTGCCGCCTGTATTTTTCCGCCCCCTTCTCATTCGTTTTGAAACATCGATAAAAACCATCAAGTAACTCTCGCCACTGCGCCGCGCTGATCGCACTGTGTTCGGCGCAATGCGTGAAGTATTCCTGCAGTCTTGTAGGCGCTATGCGTTTCACGCCAACCGCTCCTGACCGCACTGTGTTAGACGTAATGGGTGAAGTATTCACTCAGTCTTGTAGGCGCTAATATGTGTTACATGCCGACCGCCGCGCCGAGGGCTTGTCCTTTTCATCTCAAGTACTGGTCATCATACCTCTCTGCACTGAACTCCAGGCCAAATTGCGTGTTTAGTTCCTTTCTTAACTCGACTAATTAAAGATGCTGTCTCTTGTATCACCGAAAAAACGACAAAATTAGAAATTACTATACTCTTATAAAAGAGAGATTTTGTCCCCTCTTCTCATTGTTAATTTTTTCTCTGAATCCGATTTTTTTATGCCTACATTTAAACAAATTGCAAAATTTGCCGCCCCCTAAATTTGCCGCCATAGGTCGCGGCCCATGTGGCCACCCCCTTAATCCGGCCCTGCCGTAAGTTAACACAATTCAGTGCCCATCAAAGCCCAGCTTCTTGATTTTATCGTTTCTGCAATACGCAAGTACATAACCTGATACCACATTCCGGTCCCGGGTACCGTAAACTCCGGCTAAAATCTTTCACTCCCGCAACATCCTACTCCCAAGCTAGGTCACGGTCAAAGGGCAACCAACTTGCAGCTTTTTCTAATCCAAGTTGAATCGTGATGGATCCGTAATAAAAGGCAGGACCGCTCTGTCGTGCCAAGGAAGAACGTCGTAGGAACATTTGAGTATTGTCAAATTTCCCTCGAAAAGATGTTTGTGAAAAAATCAGGCAAAATCGAACTCTAAAAAAGTAATGTGGATAACTAGACCAAAGCTTCGTGGCGATAATCTGACATGATTTGGCGCAATAAAGAACGCAAATTTTATATAAAAAGCCAAGATTGCAATTAATTGCTAGCACTCGGTGCAACTATTGCAATTTGGACAGAGTGTGATGCATGTTGTCTATTCACTGATTGAAGGGGCTCCCTCTTGTTAAAATTCATTTCAATCCAAATGATATAAGTCACATTTGACCAATGGACCATACTTTATTGGTCGTTCTAAATCGGCATTTATTGAGCTAATAATGTGAAAATATTGCAATTTTATTGCATTAAAATTGCAAAATTTTCGTTGCACTGTGCTATTTCAAGAAACGATTCTAAAACTTGACATTTTAAGAGCATTTCATGATTAAAAAACAATAAATCGACATTCTGAAAAAAAGCTTTTGAAGATTTCTGGCGTTGTCCAAAAGTCAAACAAAATTTCCCGATAAAAAGGCCACAACGCAAGGGTTTAAGTTCTTTTACGGCAAGGAACACCATGAAAAATTCTATCAACACTTGAAGACGCTTGCTAGATTATAAGGAAATCATATTTTTTCGAAAATACTTGGCAACGCCTGTAGGTCCATACGGTGTTTTTCCTTTGCATGGCAGAATTGAGTTCCGACTATTCCGAATCTTGGATCACCCGTTGGTGAGGCGCGAACTGCACTCTGCCGAGCTAAGGAAGAACGCCGTATGAACATTCGAGAGTTGCCAAATTTCTTCCGATAAAATGTTTGTTTATGCGGAACGATATGAATATTTTCACTTGAAATTTTTAGGAACTTCAGGTAAAATTGCGCACATAATAATCTGAAAAATTAGAAGGACATTTTTAACAAGTTTACCGGGAAATTCGTGTTTTATCAAAGGAAATTTGGCAACGCCTGAAGGTTCATACGGCGTTTTTCATTAGCACGGCAGCACTCACGTTTGACTTGCAAATCGGCCGAAAGTGTGTTAATGCATCCGCGAGATCTCGGTTGTTTTTACGTCCAAGCGCACTAAGTGGTTCCTGAGTGGGAGGCAATGAGGCTTGTTGGATGGGGCAAATGAGTGCCAAATGGGTCATTTGCATAGCTTCCACGTAGAAAATATTCTGCCGTTCTAAGGAAAAACGCCGTAGGAACCTTCAGGCGTTGCCAAATTTCCTTTGATAAAACACGAATTTCCTGGTAAACTTACGAATATTTTCTTTCCAATTTTTCAGATGACTTTGCTCGCGATTTCACCTTAAGCTCCTGAAAATTTCATTTTTTCAACTTCCTACCCAAAGTTTTGGTAGCCATAGTTACTAGACTCATATCATTTACGGTGGGGGAGGGGGAGCCGAAGCTTGGCTTCTTCAATCAGAGCTTTGATCACCTACGCGGAAATTTTTAAATGTCACGTAGATCAAAGTTAAGTTGAACGGAGTTTTCGGGGATTTTCTCTCCGTGAGCACTTGATACTTTCATAAAAAATGTTGACCTCAGTGGGAGAATAATGGGAAGATACTAATAAGTACCGGTAAACAAAAGGAAAATCAAAGTGGCCTCATAAAATGAATACTTTAATTTGTACTCTTTAACTAGAATTTGTAGAAAAATTGTGTTTAATGCATACTTAGATGCAGCTGCAATGATTTCCACACTTGCCTTTGTGACATTGATATTGTTGACATTCAACATTTATAACCGTTGCAGCTTATTTCGCGTGTTATGACTCATTCCGAGCAACTTTCCTTCACTGCCATGCTAAGGAAAAACGCCGTATGAACCTCCAGGCGTTGCCAAATTTCCTTGTATAAAACACGAATTTTCTGGTAAACTTACGAATATTTTCTTTCCAATTTTTAAGATAATTTTGCTCGCAATTTCACCTTAAGTTCCTGAAAATGTTAAGGAAAAACATTCATAACTTTCCTCAAAAATGAACATTTTATCGAAGGAAATATGGCAGCTCTCAAATGTTCATACGGCGACACGGCGAGCGTTTTTTGTGCCAATATTTCCGTTGGGCCTTTCTTCAGCAGTACCAGTGTTATTTCAATAAAGGGCTTTCCTACACCGGGGTTTTTTTCGGCATGGATACAAAATCACGTAAATTTTAAATAATTTTTACTTAAAAATTTAACAATATGTTTTCTTCCTCATTTAAATGTACGTAGGATATATTCTGAAAAGTTTTTAAATTAATTTTCCTGAGAATCGTTGCTTGGAATCGGTATTGTAGCATAATGCATTTTTTTTTAAGAGAGCACAGAAAAACACCCCATTAAGAAAGGTCTGGGAGGCACAGAAAAACGTTTTTTTTTGGACATTTTAGAGCGTTTTTTGTGCCAATATTTCCGTAGGGCCTTCCTTTAGCAGTACCAGTATTATTTCAATATTATCGTGAAACCAATCTTCAGATAAAACTTTTAAAACTTTTTTGAAAAACTCACGCTTTCACTAATTTGTATTTGCTATACTAAATTGCTCACTAATTTCACAAATTAGTGAAAGCGTGAGTTTTTCAAAAAAGTTTTAAAAGTTTTAATACACTATTTATCTATTTTATTACTACATTTATTACTACTATTTTTCAAAAATTTCGATTATTTTATCAAAAATTCACCCTTCAGATCCTCACTATGTTATTATCAGTGCGTATCGCAGCACTGAAAAAAAAAAATCTCGGCGTTTTTACCAAGGTCCGTTGGTACCTTTACCATCCCACTTTTTTTTACCAATTATTGGTAATTTCACCAAGACAGACTGGTAAGCTTACCTAAAAACCGGTACTTTTACTGTTTTTCTCAGGTAAGAATACCACTTTTATTGGTAATCAATTCCCGGTAACTTTGCCATTTTATCTCGGTAATTCTCCACAGTCGATAAAAAATATTGGCGTTTTTACCGGGGTCCAGTAAAATTACCTAGAAAGTCTATAATTTTACTGAGATTTCTCGATAAAATTACCAATTCCATAAATGGGAATTTTACCAAGAAAAAACTGGGATCAAATAGAACCCCGAATTCTTGGTAATTTTACCCTTTTCTTAGTAAATACACCGAGATTTTTTTTTCAGTGCACTAATTTGTATTTGTTATACTAAATTGCTCACTAATTTCACAAATTGGTGAAAGCGTGAGTTTTTCAAAAAAGTTTTAATACAGCTTTTACTGTTTTTCAAAAATTTCGATTATTTCATTAAAAATTCACCCTTCAGATCCTCGCTATGTTATTATCAGTGCGTTGTCGCAGGAGAAGAAGAAATCAATCAGAATGTACCCACCTGGAGGTGATCCAGTTTCGGGTCCGCGAGCGGGTCTTCGGCGTCGGCGACAGATCGGGCCGAAGACGACGGGGCGACGCGGACAGTTAAGAGGGACTTACGAGTTCCTTGAACTTGATTTCACTACTAACGAAAGAGCCCGACTGTTCCGCGCCATCCTTACGTCGCGTCGTCCGCGCCACGGCCAAGGTCATGAACGGCCGCGCAACGGTCCGCGCTCGGCTCGCGGTCGCGCCTCCGATTCGCGGCCGGGGTGATGGACAGACCCCCCGAGCCCCCCCCCCCCCCCCNCCCCCCCCCCCCCTCCCCGGGGGGGGGCACCCAACGCACACGGAGTGCCCGGCCGAAATTCGACGATTTCGCGATCTAAAGGCCGCCGTTCAATGGGTTACTACTGCCGGGCTAAGGAAAAACGCCGTATGAATAATCAAGAATTGCCAAATTTCCTCCTACAGTGGGAAAAAAACGCATTGGATCTAGAGTCCAGACTCTTAAAAACATCGACAAGTAAAGTACTCTTGATTCAATCAGATTTAAGCTTAAATCAAGAACCAAGCCTCTTAATTTGAGCGGATTTCCTTTTGATTCAAGCAAAAATCCGATTGAATCAGGAGTATTTTTTCTTGTCAATGTTTTCAAGAGTCTGGACTCTAGATCCAATGTTTTTTTTTCTTCCAGTGCATGAAATGTTTATTTTTGGGGAGAGTTATGGAGATTTTCAAGTGAAATTTTTCAGATGATTTACATCTAATTACATACGAAGAAAATTCTCTGAAAAATTTTACGGGAAATATTCAGGAGTTATCCAGAAAATTCGTATTTAATCTACGGAAATTTGGCAACTGGCGAAGGTTCATACGGCGTTTTCCCTTACCATGGCAGAATGGGTCAATACTGTTGCAACGAGAGAGAACGCTGTATGTGCATTTGAATCATTTGAGGACTGCATGCAGTGTATCTCTACTTTTCTAAACCCGCGTTTAAGTCTCCGAGTGAATTTCTTCCTCGGAGTCTTGCGCCGAGTGGCTGGTGACTAAATTTACCTTACAATTTGATCGGCTCTCGTAGACTGGTAATCATCCAAAGATCCATACTATCTGTAAAGGAAAAACGCCGTATGAACATTTGAGAGTTGCCAAATTTCCTTCGATAAAATTTTTATTTTTAAGGAAAGTCATGAATATTTTTCCTTTATATTTTCAGAATCTTTGGGTAAAATTTCGAACTAAATTATTTGAAAAATGGGGAGTAACATATTCATGAATTTACCAGGAAATTTGCGTTTTATCAGAGGAAATTCGGCAACACCTGAAGGTTCATACGGCGTTTTTCCTCAGCGTGGCCGCATATTTCTCTTGATTAAAGTCTCAACTTTTGGTTTTTTTTTTTTTTATTAATATTTATTGATTGGTGAGGAATGAGCTGTGCCTCTCACGTCACCAGCTTAAACGTAGGTAGAACAGAAAGTAAAGCAATGCGTTCAATCTACTGTGTCGAAGAGACATCAGCTGGTACTGGTGTCAAATTTCGTTGGAATATTCACGCCAAAAAAAGCTTGTTTGTTTATTTGGCGTATTTCACAAGGAAATTATCGCACCGATTCTCTTGGGATTTTTAGAGAATTGCCTTTACGGCACAAAGCATATTCCCTGAAATTTAAAGGAAAAAATTGGCACGACTGGGCCAAGTTTAACATAAACGCACTGAGTCGCAACAAATATGAACCGAGGAAAAGATGTTTGAAATTTTATTTCACCATGAGACTCAACGTTAAAGACAAAGTTTATTGTTTAGCTATTTTTACGATCACATTAATATTTTTTACCTTTAAATTTTTGACAGGAGAAAGTGTGTTACTCGTTGAGTTTGAAGCAACTCCCGGCTCGTTTTTCTTTATCAGAATACTTCTTGGTTCGTTTTTGTTAAACTCGGTCTAACTGCTCTCTTTTAATGCACTTTCAAATGAATTGTCTCTAAGTTTCGTTTCCCCGAACATTATTACTGTAACTCTTCAACGGTGTTTCGCACTCTTTCCGTTCAGTTCGCCTTCAATGGCTCGAGTAGGCAATGTGAGCGACTGTGGAGCAGTAATAGTGGCTGGGCTCATTCGTGCCAGTGGCGTGGCGCATTGCCATGTATCAATCAATCTGTTATTTAAACCTATAGAAAAGAATCGATAAACAGGGTGTTCGTAACGAACACCTTAATAATAGATTCCTTACTATAGCTTCAAATAGGGAAATACAGATAATCAATTCTTCACGCCACTGATTCGTGCCAAACACAACTATAGGGGCCTAAGATTTTGCTATCGCAGTGTTTTGCGTTCCTCCTGTCCAATGCGCCTTCTATAACATCAATAGGCAATGTGAGCGGCATAGGAGCAGTAATACAGTGAAAGCTCGCTAAGTCGAATTATGTAGGGACAGACGAAAAATTTGACTTAGGCGAAAATTCGTCTTAACCGATAACTCCACCAAACTTATGAACGTTTCTAGGGACCGTAAAAAAACTTCGACTCAATCGGTATTTCGTCTTAACCGTAGTTCGACTTAGCGAGCTTTTACTGTAGTTGCTTGCAGCACTTTGGACATATTCATTCGTGCTAAGCATGATGTAAGCGGATAAATAGTTCTCCATTAAAGTGTTTCGCGATCAGCTAGCCCAACGCGCCTTCCATTATGCAAGTAGGCAATATAAGCAGCTTAGGAGCAGCAATAGTTGCTTGGAGCAGTTTGCCGATGTTCGTTTGCGCTGAGCTCAGCACTAGCGAATGAATAATCACTACGGGGCACCGCTTTACCTTTGGGTATACTCCCGTGAAAAGAAACCTTTTTACAAATCTCGAATAAAATCCTATAGCGTAACTTCATAAATAGTCCTTACAAGGGGCGATTTTTATTTCGAAAATATCGCGATAGATTGTTGGGCGATACAAGCGTAATTTTATCGCAATAAAATCGCGCTTTTATCGCCTGACAATCTATTGTGATATTTTCGAAATAATAATCGCGATAAATGGCGATTTAATCTCGATTTTATCGAAGAAAATTGATCACGATTTTATCAAACCAAAAATTGCGATTTGTAGCGATTTAATCGTCATATTTCGCAATTTTTAATGCGATAATACCTCGATATATTGCCACCGATGAAATCGCTATTCATCCCGATCACTGCTACTTGGGTAAGCTGGCAAAATGTCGGGGAAAATCCAAAAGCGTCCAAAACTCGGAACTACTGAGCGGACCGCGGCGCCTGACGCGCGTCTAAAACGCGCGAACAAGTGGCGATCCTGCCCGACTCTCGATCAATCAATCGGCGAGGACTAATTGAACGTATTTACGCCGAAAGGAACTATGTCTCACGCAAGCTACTATGCACATAGTTCCTTTTAGCATATGCGTCCAGTTGCTGCAATCCAATCGCATGACGCTCGTTTCTCACCTGGTCACTGCGTCCGTGTGCGAGCGTGTTCCACAGTCGAGTGCGAGTGTGCGCGTGAGTTCGCAGTCCCGCAGTCTGCGGTCTGCCACTCGCGGAAATGAACGAGTGATGAGCAACGCTGCCGTGCTAAGGAAAAACGTCGTATGAACATTCGAATGTTGCCAAATTTCCTCCGATAAAATGTTTATTTGTGAGGAAACTTATTCATATTTCTCCTTGGAAATTTCAGGATCTTACCGCGAAATTGAAAGAAAAATTTACGATGAAATTGGAGGAAGAATATTCATGAACTCAAAGAAAATTGTTTGATTTATCAAGGGAAATTTGGCAACGCATGAAGGCTCATACGGCGTTTTCCCTCAGCATGGCAGAGCGGTTGATTTTATGAGAGCGTCGAGCAATTTCGCGGGTCGGAGACCCCGATGAATTGTGAGTTGCGAATTTGCGGGAGAAAGGATGAAAAGGTCAATCCGAAGAGAATGGATCACTGAATAGCGCAGTGGCGCAACTAGAAATTTTTCGAGGGGAGGGAAGGAGGGTGTGCGTGTGAAAGGTCTATGGTTAACAATGCGGCTGCGATGATGCTCGAATGCCCTCTTTTTTACCTTTTTGGTGGTGCGTAGGATTGCGCGAAAGTTTCCGGCACTGAAAATTCACATGTTTGCCCGAATATTCAATATTCAACGAGGAGGAATTAATCTGGCAACCTTGACAGATAACTACATCGCAGATGACTGTTTATTCCATCTTCACTTACGGTCATGTCTCTCTTCGATAGTATTAGCGCCCTTAAACTACGACCATAACGGTCGAGACTGCAGTAGTGGCACAGGAAAACCGAAAAACTACGCGGGGACGCTACTTCAATAATAAGCTTTCATCGCCTTGCTAAGGCGCAGGGATACAACTATTTGAACTTTCCGGAATGCGTGAGGTATCACGCCTCAATTGAAGGCGTTTTCGAATCTTCTGTATTTACAAGACGAGATTTTCCATATTGATTTGCATTATATTGTTGATTTGAGTTCCCTTTATTATTTCGTTAAATTACTCCTGCTTCTTAATTTTCAATTGTTTTGAAAAAATTATCCATTCGCGAAATACAACCCTGACTTTAGCGCCCTTAAACTACGGCCTTAACGGTCGATACTGCAGTAGCGGCACAGGAAAACCGAAAAACCACGCGGGGACGCTACTTCAATATTAAGCTTCCATCGCCTTGCTAAGGCGCAGAGATACAACTATTTGAACTCTCCGGAACGCGTGAGGTATCACGCCTCAATTGAAGGCGTTTTCGAATTTCTGTATTTACAAGACGAGATTTTCCATATTGATTTGCAAAATATTGTTGATTTGAGTTCCCTTCATGATTTAGTTAAATTTCTCCTGCTTCTTAATTTTTTATTATTCTGCAAAAATTATCCATTTGCGAGATACAACCCTGGCTTTATAATCCAGGCGCCTGGTGGCTAAAAATGAGGCTACCTGGAATTTCGGGTACACAGCGATTTTTTTGGCTTACTTTATGTTATTTGGGTCGCTGAATCCGAATCTGAAGTTTCCTACCGCGTATCTGGCGAACATTTTCCGCCATTTTAAAAAAATGACATGAAAAGGCCTTTTTATGCGGTTTTCTTGATATAGCGGCTACGCATGAGAAAAAGTCCCGGATTTAGTTAATATTTTGA